GATGCAATCAGGCCACCCCAACAATTGCTGAATGCTGGGAATAATCCCTCCAGAGATTCAGTCACCTCAAAACTCACAACCACACACACTTGTGTGTCTCTTTAACCTCATAGTTTGCATGACTTTCCAGTTAGCCTTGGAGTGAGTGTTCTTACATTTTAAAAACCTTAACAATTTTATTTCTGTATAAATACTTTTTGCAAAATAAAGTATTTTATTTGCAAAAAGTATTTATAAGCAGAAGTAAAAATATTGTTAGATTTTTAAAATGTAAGAACACTCACTTTCTACAGGCTAACTGAAAGTCAAGGCAAACTATGGATGGAGGCTATTAAGATACACATGCACACACACACATAAGTGTATGTGTTTTGAGGTGACTTCTTTCTAATATTAACCCTGGAGAGATTATTCCAGCATTCAGCACTGTTGGGAAGTGCCTGAAAACTGTATTATGGATTTGACCTGAGTGGAAATTGTGTAACCTGTTGATGGTTGTGCTAGGACTGTCAAAAGAAAATCTGGCCAAGGCTTTGAGTATATTGGCCTTGTTCAAACATTGATCATGCCAGTTTATTTATTCTAGCCCAGAAATTCTAATAAGTAGTATTAAAGAAGTTTTATTGTCTTGTTTTTATGATGTGCAGATTTTTTTAAAAATTTTTATACTATTTCCCAAAATGTCACATCAATGAAAAATTGTTTGCCTCTTCTGAACCAAAATTTATTTGGAATCTGTTGTTTAAATTTTATACATGAATGATTATGAATTTTTTGTTACATATTCTTGTTTCTTATATATAATGAACTGCATAAATTCCCCTTGGATGATTCTGAAAGTCTTCATTATTCTTGGAAGTTTAATTTGCATAAATAGTACATCATCAATTTGTGATAAAAAAAAAAAAAAAAAAACACAAAGAAAAAAAACTAGTGAAGAATTAACCTCTTGAATTCAATATTTACAATTAAAATATTTTAATTTATTTGATGTAACCTAATTCCTTATTTCTTTATTTCTTTTCAGGTATAACCATCCTGACCTTAATTGACAAGCTCCATGACAAGAAAGAACCGTTCAATTTAAAATCTCTCAATGTTAGGTAAGACCATGTTTCTCACTGTTATCAGAAAGTTTGGAAATAAAGCCTTAAAAAAAAAAAAAATTGCCATTACTTGAATTGTTTACCCAAATAACTCCTGAAGTTTTGGAATGCAAAATTTGTTATCCATTATAAGGATCACAAAGCAATTATGAAATTAACATAACTGAACACTATTGGCACGTTTATTGTCAGTCTCTGTGCGTATAAGTGCCAGACATGCATGTTTCTGTTGCAATATCACTGCACATGCAAATCGGTAACTTTCTGATAGCACTTTGTATATTTATTTAGAATTTGTTGCCATATTTTATGTGTAGAATGTGTAGTGGGGGTTGCTGTGACAGACAAAGCAATGTTGGATGGCTGTAAAGAAATTACTAGTTAGCAATACAATAGTTAGCAGTCTTGCACATGAAATATAGAATGACTTGTTTTACATCTGTTGTGAAGGGGTTGGTTGAATCTGTGGCCATTAGTTTGTATATACTTCAAAACCTCATCTATTCAGACAGATTATATTCTGGAAGAAGGCCCTCGAATAAATAGGCTGAAATGTGGTAACACTAAAAGCCACAAGATGACTGATTTATACAATCTTGGTGACTCTTGAAATGATAACATGTGTTTTATATTTGGCAAAAAGACAAAAATTCATTTTGAGCTTAGTGTGACACAAATGATCTCCCGAGAGAGGCCTACACTTATTACATTTGTGACAAGTTGCTCATTTAGCTTACTAACCATTGTGCTATCCTTACATTTGATAGCTTATTTTGGAATTGGGAAAACTGCTGGAGAGTGAGAAAATTGAAAGAAGCCACAGTGATTAACCTTATGGATAAACTCTGACCACTTTGACTTTGTTTAACAAAGAAGCAAGTATGTTACATATATGATCTGTGTTGCATGCATCGCTGTGAATGGGTTGGTTCAATCATATTTGCTACTGTTTCTTTACCATTCACTAATCTGGTTGGATTTTATGCATGTACAAGAGAATATTCAAGAAGACTGAAGACATATCCTGTCTCAATTTAAATTTCCTCTAATATAAACAATCTATAAGTGAATAACTTCAGTGGTTAATGTCTGAGCATAAAGCTAACAGATGTAAACCATAGTTTTATTAACTGATTAAAAATGTATCAAACCTCTTCTAATTGAAAGCGTTCATGACTGCAATTAAAAATAGGGAGATCAAGTATTAATTGGTGGGTCTTTTCTGATTGAATACTTTCAGATTTAGACTTTGTAGCTATATAATTACTGTTGTAATTATCTCATGGCTCACTGTGCAATCTGAGAAGCCAGTCTATGCAGACAAGGAATTTCTTGACTTCAACTATGGATGAATGTTAATCATAGAATTTCATAACTAAGAACAGTTGTGCAAG